TGTTTGTGCTCTTGGGCCTGAGATTTGGATCATTTGTCCTTGGTGCCCAGCTGGAGCAGGAATTGTTTTGTCTCCCTGCTCTGTGCACAGAGCTCACCATGCCCTGATGTCAAGCTGGACCCACACACTAAATCAGCACAGAATGTGAAAAATATAAAAACCAAAACCTGAGGCCCCATAACACGAATCTCAGAATTAAACCCTAAAGCAGCAGAGGACCTGAAAAATACAAAAGCTAAACCACGAGGCACCATAACACGAATCTCAGAATTACAGCCTAAAGCAGCACGGAACCTGAAAAATGTAAAAGGCAAAACCTCAAGGACAGGAATGAGGAGCAGCTCACCTGGAAGAGGATCTGCAGCAGCCCGTGCAGGATGACCATCCTCCGGCCCAGCAGCAGCAAGAAGGGCACCAGCAGCTCGATGAAGTGGTTGACCAAGGTCTCGAAGCGGTGGAACCACCAGGGCGAGCGGTGCATGAAATACGAGATGGGGTTGGGCACCGGCTGGGTCTGCAATGGCAGAGGAGAAAAGGAGTTAATCCCCTCCAAAATCAGAGGAAAAAAGGAATTAATCCCCTCCAAATCTTGGTATGAAGTGCCGCTACAAAGTTCTGGCCTTATTCCTTGTTTCTCTCCCCAAATTTGCCATCCTGCACCTCTGGGAACTTGTTTCATTGCAGACAAAATGAGCTCATCCCACACGTCTTTAAACAAATTCATCTCTTAAAAAACAAGTTTTTTAATTTTCCCTTTTGTCATCACAACTGAACCCCATCTAAAATTAGGTCCACTATTATTCAACACTGAAATCTTACACTTAGATCAGCACTGAGGGATGTTAAAGCGAGTGAGGATCCTCAGAGCAGATCCAGAAACTGAGCCTAAGATTTGCTCGGGGTCAGGCCTTGGGTCAAACAGAGCCAGGAATGGAAACCAGATTTCAAAACCTCGGAGATCTGCTTTCAAAATGTTTAAAATTCAAATAAATGTGCTGGTGGAGCTGCTTTCCAAGATGGTAATTGGGGAGAGGAAAGTGTAATTCCTCTAAACATGCTCTACTGGTTAAGGTATTTACATACTGGCCTTGGGACAATATTATTCTTTTGTCAGCCTGAAATTTTTTGACACTGAGAGATTTTTCTGTCCAGGACAAGAAAATAGCAAATTTTTCAAAGGCAACAACCCCAAATTCTGATATGTTAATAAAAGCCACCCTAAGAAATCCAAACCCCTAAAGTTCCAACTTTAAAAAGTTCCCTAACCCTAACCCTAACCCTAACCCTGCCCCACAACTGGAGCAAAAAATAAATGCGAATTTATCTTAACATATCTGACAGGCTCAAACTCCCTGGTATTGTTTTAAAACTTCAACAACAACAACAACAACAACAAAAGAGAGAGGTCGAAAACACAAATGCTAATTGAAGGAGACACAACACATCTTTAAATTATTTGTAGTTAAATCCAAAATACAAACAAAACAGGGGCAAATCCTGCAGGATTGCATGGCAGCCAAGCGCGCTCCCGCTGCCAAATCCCACAACTATTGTAATTCCTCATTAGCAAAGCTGGGATTAATAAAGCCCGGCCTGGGCTGGAGGCCCCTGAGGACAGGAGACCGCATCCTTCCT